CTATTTCTTCCACAACTGTGACAGCTGCAGCTGGTGAATCTGGGCTCTCTCTTCCGTTACTGAGTTAATATGCATGAGATTTGCTTTTGTTGTAGACTGTTTATATGATTTCTTCTGAATTACTTCATTGGTAAATGCAGTGCCTTCTGAAAGTATTCAGGCCCCTTGACTTTTTCCACATTTAGTTAGGTTACAGCCTTATTCTAAAATTGATTAAATTGTTTTTTCCCCTCCTCTATCAACACACAATACCCCATAATGACAAAGCAAACACAGGTTTTTAGAAATGTTTGCTAATTTATTTCAAATAAAAAAACTGAAATAATATTTACATAGGTATTCAGACCCTTTACTCAGTACTTTGTTGAAGCACCTTTGGCAGCGATTATAGCCTGGAGTCTTCTTGGGTATGATGCTACAAGCTTGGCACACCTGTATTTGGGGAGTTCCATTCTTCTCTGCAGATCCTCTCAAGCTGTGTTAGGTTTGATGGGGAGCGTTGCTGCACAGCTATTTCCAGGTCTCTCCAGAGATGTTAGATCGGGTTCAAGTCTGTCTCTGACTGGGCCACTCAAGGACATTCAGAGACTTGTCGCGAAGCCACTCCTGCATTGTCTTGGCTGTGTGCTTAGGGTCGTTGTCCTGTTGGAAGGTGAACCTTTGCCCCAGTCTGAGGTCCTTAGACTCTCTGGAGCAGGTTTTCATCAAGGATCTCTCTGTACTTTGCTCCGTTCATCTTTCCCTCGATCCTGAGGAGTCTCCCAGTCCCTGCCGCTGAAAAACATCCCCACAGCATGATGCTGCCACCACCATGCTTCATCGTAGGGATGGTGCCAGGTTTCCTCCAGACGTGATGCTTGGCATTCAGGCCAAAGAGTTCAATCTTGGTTTCATCAGACCAGAGAATCTTGTTTCTCATGGTCTGAGAGTCTTTGGGTGCCTTTTGGCAAACTCCAAGCAGGCTGTCATGTGACTTCCGTCTGGCCACTCTACCATAAAGGCCTGATTGGTGCTCCACAGAGGAACTCTAGAGTTCTGTCCGAGTGACCATCGGGTTCTTGGTCACCTCCCTGACCAAGGCCCTTCTCCCGATTGCTCAGCTTGGCCGGGCGGCCAGCTCTAGGAAAAGTCTTGGTTGTTCCAAACCTCTTCCATTTGAGAATAATGGAGGCCACTGTGTTCTTGGGGACCTTCAATGCTGCAGAAATGTTTTGGTACCCTTCCCCAGATCTGTGCCTCGACACAATCCTGTCTCAGAGCTCTATGGACAATTCCTTCGACCTCATGGCTTGGTTTTTGCTCTGACATGCACTGTCAACTGTTGGACCTTAATATAGACAGGTGAGTGCCTTTCCAAATCATGTCCAATCAATTGAATTTACCACAGGTGGACTCCAGGTTTGTAGAAACATCTCAAGGATGATCAATGGAAACAGGATGTACCTGAGCTCAATTTCGAGTCTCATAGCAAAGGGTCTGAATACTTATGTAAATAAGGTATTTCAGTTTTTTATTTTTAATAAATGTGCAAAAAAAAGTTAAACCTGTTTTCGCCTTCTCAGTATGGGGCATTGTGTGTAGATTGATGAGCGAAAAAAAAGGTTGCTGAGATTATAAAAAAACAGTTTTTAGAATAAGGCTGTAACGTCAGCTTCCAGGAATTGTGTACAGATCCTTGAAACATTGGGCCATGCATTATCATGCTGAAACATGAGGTGATGGCAGCAGATGAATGGTACGACAATTGGCCTCAGGATCTCGTCACGGTATATCTGTGCACTCAAATTGCCATCGATAAAATGCAATTGTTCGTTGTCCGTAGCTTATGCCTGCACATACCATAACCCCACCGCCACATGGGGCACTCTGTTCACAACGTTGACATCAGCAAACCACTCGCCCACACGAGGCCATACACGTGGTCTGCGGTTGTGAGGCCAGCTGGACGTACTGCCAAATTCTCTAAAACGACGTTGGAGACTGCTTATGGTAGAGAAGTGAACATTAAATTATCTGGCAAAAGCTCTGGTGGACATTCCTGCAGTCAGCATGCCAATTGCATGCTCCCTCAACTTGAGACATCTGTGGCATTGTGTTGTGTGACAAACCTGCACATTTTAGAGTGGCCTTTTATTGTCCTCAGCACAAGGTGCACCTGTGTAATGATCATGCTGTTTAATAAGCTTCTTGATATGCCACACTTGTCAGGTGGATGGATTATCTTGGCAAAAGAGATGCTGACTAACAGGGATTTAAACAAACAAATGTGTGCACAAAATTTGAGAGAAATAAGCTTTTTGTGCGTATGGAACATTTCTGGGATCTTTTTTCAGCTCATGAAACATGGGACCAACACTTTACATGTTGTGTTTTATATTTATGTTCAGTTGAGCTTGGTTATCTACATTGACACTTTTTTTACACTCTCTTTGACTATGCACTCACACTGGACGCTACCCACACACTCACACATACTTACACTGACACTCCGACACATACACACACACACACACACACACACACACACTCAGAACATGTACACACAGGCTCACATTAGCCACACACACACTTTCACACTCATCACATTCACTGCTGCTATTGTCTATTATCTTTCCTGTTGCCTACCTCAATTTCCTCATACCCTGCACAGTGACTCGGTACAACTACTCCATGTATATATAGCCAAGCTATCATTGCTCACTGTGTATTTATTCCTCATGTTACAATACAAATACAAAAAAGAGATATATATATATATATATATATATATATATATATATATATATATATATAATTATTGTTATTCTGCATTGTTGGGTAGGGCCCTTAAGTAAATATTTCACTGTTAGTCTACACCTGTTGTTTACAAAGCGTGTGACAAAGTTTGATATGACACTGACGCACAGACTCGGACATGGATCAGCTGATCGGGGAAGCTGCAGGCTATCCAAGGCATGCCTCTCCATGCTAGTACATGCTCACACAGATACTTTCCACTCCACTCAGTGTTGAGGTATCATGTTGAGCCAAGACATGCCTCTTGATGGGGCCCATAAAAGCAGAGGCATAGGCTGGGTCATTATGACACCATGTAGCCTTGCCCCCTAACACACACACAGACACATACAGCGAAAGTAGTTATGTTTGTATTTGCATGCTGGCAAGCCAATCTATCTCAGCTGAGAGGGTAGGTTTATTTAGGTCCCGCCAGACTGTTGTGGGTCAGTGTCTCACGTGATGAGCATTTCTCCTTTGCCAAGATAATCCATCCACCTGACAGGTGTGGCATATCAAGAAGCTGATTAAACAGCATGATCATTACACAGGTGCACCTTGTGCTGGGGACAATAAAAGGCCACTCTAAAATGTGCAATTTTGTCACACAACACAATGCTACAGATGTCTCAAGTTTTGAGGGAGCATGCAATTGGGATGCTGACTGCAGGAATGTCCACCAGAGCTGTTGCTAGATAATTTAATGTTAATTTCTCTAACATAAACCACCTCCAACGTTGTTTTAGAGAATTTGGCAGTACATCCAACCGGCCTCACAACCGCAGACCACGTGTATGGCGTTGTGTAGGCGAGTGGTTTGCTGATGTCAACATTGTGAACATGGTGGCTGTGGTGTTATGGGATGAGCAGGCATAAGCTATGGACAACGAACACAATTGCATTTTATCGATGGCAATTTGAGTGCACAGAGATACCATGATGAGATCCTGAGGTCCATTGTCGTGCCATTCATCCGCCACCATCACCTCATGTTTCAGCATGATTATGCTTGCAAGGATCTGTGCACAATTCCTGGAAGCTGAAAATGTCCAGTTCTTCCATGGCCTGCATACTCACCAGACATGTCACCCATTGAGCATGTTTGGGATGCTCTGGATCGACGTTTACGATAACGTGTCCCAGTTCCCGCCATTATCCAGCAACTTCGCACAGCCATTGAAGAGAAGTGGGACAACATTCCACAGGCCACAATCAACAGCCTGATCAACTCTATGCGAAGGAGATGTGTCGCGCTGCACACTAGGTACTGACAGGTTTTCTGATCCACGTTCCTACCTTTCTTTTAAAGGTATCTGTGACCAACAGATGCACATCTGTATTCCTAGTCATGTGAAATGCATAGATTAGGAACTAATGAATATTTTCAATTGACTGATTTTCTTTATGTAAACTTAAACTCAGTAAAATCTTTGAAATTGTTGCATGTTGCGTTTTATATTTTTGTTCAGTGTACATGGTGATAAGAAGTGTAGAATTGCGTACAAACAGTCTGGCTCCAGCCAGGTGATTTAGATTTGCCGTGTGTGTTTTTAAAAGCGTTTCTATGTGATGTGATTATCTAATGGAATCAGACTGAGATTATTTGAGTCTACGTGTAGTAGCATGTGATGGAATTCTCCAGTCTCTCAACTCAACTCTCTCACAGTCCCTCTAAAAGTCACTCCCAGCAAAAAAACATGCAGAGTGACCTCATCAACTTTATTGAGGTAGCCAACATATGGATAGGGTCAAAGTCATTGTGAAATATGTGTAAAACTTTAGGCTATATCCAAATCAGATGTCTGGGGATCTGAAATTGTTGAGTGCAAAGTAAAATGTGATTATTTCACTGCTCTCGGTTTTCTTGTTATCTGGTCTCACCTTTGTACGCTTCTTTCCATGACGTAACAGTCATAGCCTACGTCATGGCTTGTTTACCTGATGTCATCACCCTGGCCTCATGTCCCAGTCTCTTTCTATGGGATTTAAACACTAAATAAGCAGTGTCATCTGCTGGCCCTCCAACACTAATTTATTACATATAAGCTTCTGAATGTATGCTTTTTAAAATCAATGATGGAAACCCTATAGCTACACCATACATAAACACTTGATAAAACATACTGTATGATTAGAGGGTTAAGAGATCTGTGTTGACACATCAATGAAATGTATGGACAAAACCCATATTACCCTGCGCCCCTCTCTCTGTGTCCCCTTCAGCTGGTACAACGCGGGAGCACCTGGGTCTGGCCATGGCTCTGAAGGTGCCCATCTTCATTGTGGTCAGTAAGGTGGACCTGTGTAAGCGCGACACGGTGGAGCGCACTGTCCGGCAGCTGGAGCGCATCCTCAAACAGCCCGGCTGCAACAAGGTGCCTCTGGTGGTGTCCACTGCTGACGATGCGGTCACAGCCGCACAGCAGTTCGCTCAGTCACCCAGGTACACACTCACACACACGTGCAGTGTCATGATCTATGGACATGATGAGTACTTAATGTACTGTACGTACACAGCCACCCAGGGTTCCACCCACAATGTTAGTGTCATAATTGGTCATTTGATGTTGGTCATGGTGTGTGTTGTCATGTCCCTGGTCATGTGACAGTGGTGGTGCTGTTTCCTGTACAGCATCACTCCCATCTTCACCGTGTCCAGCGTGTCTGGGGAAAGTCTGGATCTGCTCAAGGTCTTCTTCAACATCATCCCCCCACTCAGCAACAGCAAGGAGCAGGAGGAGCTCATGCAACAGCTCACTGAGTTTCAGGTAACACACGCACAAACAGACACATGCACATACTGTAAATAAATAGCATACATGTAAATGTGTGTTTGACAGTGTGTGCTTTCCCTGTAGGTGGATGAGATCTACACAGTGCCTGATGTGGGGACAGTGGTGGGAGGAACTCTATACAGGTCAGTGCACTGATATAGGAGCCCTTTGTCTCTGTCAGTGTCTTGTCCTCTCCTCTCTATAAGTCATGTTCCTTTTCTTACCTAGTTCTCCTTCCTTGTAGAGTAGCATCTATCTGACCTTCCCCCGTCGCGTTTGTCTTAATACATTTCTCTCTCTCTCGTTGTAGTGGTGGTATCTCTCGAACTGTCCATCCATTGGTATCTGTCTAACTCTCATCCCTCTCTCCCTCTCCATTGAGATCGAACTGTCATCCCTCTCTCCCTCTCCATTGGTATCGAACTGTCATCCCTCTCTCCCTCTCCATTGGTATCGAACTGTCATCCCTCTCTCCCTCTCCATTGGTATCGAACTGTCATCCCTCTCTCCCTCTCCATTGGTATCGAACTGTCATCCCTCTCTCCATCTCCATTGGTATCGAACTGTCATCCCTCTCTCCCTCTCCATTGGTATCGAACTGTCATCCCTCTCTCCCTCTCCATTGGTATCGAACTGTCATCCCTCTCTCCCTCTCCATTGGTATCGAACTGTCATCCCTCTCTCCCTCTCCATTGGTATCGAACTGTCATCCCTCTCTCCCTCTCCATTGGTATCGAACTGTCATCCCTCTCTCCCTCTCCATTGGTATCGAACTGTCATCCCTCTCCATTGGTATCTGTCAAACTCTCATCCCTTTTCTCTCCATCCATCAAGTGGTATCTGTCATGAGGGGGAGCAGCTGGTTGTGGGTCCTACAGACTCAGGTCAGTTCCTCAAGTTGACAGTGTGCAGCATCCAAAGGAACCGCTCGGCATGCAGGGTACTGAGGGCCGGCCAGGCCGCCACGCTCGCACTGGACACTTTCGACCGTTCACTGTTACGCAAGGTGAGATGCTCAAACTGTGTACTTGTATTTCACCCAAGCTGCTGCAACTGAGTTGTAAATCTCTGTCCATCCTGGTTTATGCAGTAGTGTTTGCCTTCAGTTTCTATTATCAACATGTTTTCCATTGTTCCGTTTCATTGTGTTTAATGACTGTACTTACTGTGTGTTCCCTCCCAGGGTATGGTGATGGTGAGTCCAGAGATGAACCCCACTATCTGTTGGCTGTTTGAGGCTGAGATCGTGTTGCTGTTCCACGCCAAGACCTTCCACAAGGGCTTCCAGGTCACTGTGCACGTGGGCAACATCAGACAGACTGCTACTGTGAAGGCTGTGCACGGCAAGGTCAGTCCTCCACCTTACCACAATCCTCTCTTTCTGGGGAAACCCTGCAGTCAAAGACAGAACATTTTATGAAGTAGTGTTGCACGGTATACCGAAACTTCGGTACTTTTTCGATACTAGAACATGAGAAGCCGTTTGGTACTATAATTTTTTACAACTTTCGGTACTTCACGGATCAAGCCTGTCTATATTGGCGCAGCTGACCCCTTATTATAGTGAAAACTGTGCCTGCTCCACTTACTCATTGCTAGCCTGCACTGGGAGTCTAGGCTGTATCATGTTAGCTCCCCACTCATGCTGCACATAAGTTAACATACTTGAATAAATCTGGTATTGTGACAACACTAGTTTGAAGGATTTGTAGAATGAATAGTTATGAAGTGTTAACATACAGTGGTAATATTCTATACAAGTCTTCCTCTATGAAATTAATACAAGTCTTCTATGAAACTAATCCATCTATCTGTGTACCACAGGAGGAGCTGAGGACAGGCGAGAAGGCGGTGGTATGTTTTAAGTTCATTAAGCACCCAGAGTACCTGAAGGTGGGGGCCAAGCTGCTGTTCAGAGAGGGAGCCACCAAAGGCATCGGCCAGGTCACCAAGCTACAACCTGTCTCCCAGTCACAGCCCTCACAGAGTGAGGAGGAGGACGAGGCCTAGAACCCAGAACCGCCCAGTGGAACAGGAGAACCACAGCCGTCCCAGCTAGATCCCAGGATCTAGAACATCGGAGAAGGTTCCTTCTCTTTCTCCTGTAATCTTCAGCCTTCCTGCTTCTTCCAAAGCCCCTCTCCTGTCATCTCAGCAAAGAACCGACTTTTCCCTCACAACTTTTGTCTTTTACTTTGTTTTTCCAAAGCCGTTGTTGTCACTAAACCTTATCTCAAGCTTTTTCAAGAACTGCTTTTCCGATTGTTTCCTTTTGCTTTTCTAGATACTGAAGGGACGTTTATTTTGTCTCCTGTGTCACCTGTTCACCTAGCAACAGTCACCACGGTGAGGTTGAGGTGTAAGGAAGACCTGGTTACAAAAGGCACAGAGATCTATCCAATAGTAACTATGGAAATATGAGTGTAAAGCAGCAGTCACCATAAACACATAGTTGATTCACACCTCTGGGTGAAGTGCATACACACACTCGTCTCTCACTCAAACATACACACACTGAAACACAAGTACACAGGTGCATCCACACACACTGAGACGCCTGTATTTATCACCTGAAAAGGCACTGAGTTCTGTTAACGCGTCTGGCATGTTTACAAACCAAAAATACAGACAGAGGACTGATGGCAGATTGATGTGAGTTTACTTCTATTGCAGCTACAGTACTAGGATGTCAGAGGTTAGAATTGTGATATCTCCTCTGTCAACTTCATAATCCCACATCTTGTTTTTATGACCTGCACAGTGCCTGACTGAAAGTGACAAAAGTCCTCTTATACCATGTTTGAATATGTCGTTCACAATGGCACTTTATGATGATGAGGCATTTCCTGTTAGCTTGTGATGTATGGGTAAAACTTGACCTTGTGATAAACTGGCCAGGATGGCCAATGATCTCACTGACATTCATCCCCAGTAACGTTCTCCTTCCTCTGGCATAGTTTGAGAATTATGTTTGTAACTCTCAGCAATGCCTCTCGATAGTCCAACTAACCAATTAATGGTGTTGCTACCTACTTTTCAAGTGCTTTAGTTACTCAGGTCAGTATAGTTCGTACAGTATAGACAGCATTCCACTCTCTCCCAGAACTACTCCAATGATAAATAGAGAAGGTTTTATTGATCACTTTGAGTATCTTTGAGGAATAATCAGCCATTTCTCCCATAGAGATTGTGACTGCTTTGTGTGTTTTTGATTATGCTTATTGTTTAAAAGCTGCCACTTTGTACTGCTATGTTGAAACTGCCCTGTTCGGCAATCGTGTCTGAGGTTGTCTTTTTCCTGTCGTCTTCTCCCTTATGTTACTGTTGTCTCTGATTATGAAGGGGTAAAACACAGTGCCTAGTGGAACTACTTTTGGAGTACCCTTCCATGACACCCCAAGGTTTTACAACTTTTTAGGTAAATCAACTTGATTTGGTGCTATTCCTTGAAACAACTTTTGATATCTAGAAGATGAATAGGGAAAGATGTGTTTGTTGCTGAATTTGTTTGTTCAAGGCTGCTGTTGACCTTATAAACTGTCAAGTTATTGCATGTTAGAAAGAATGATGCAGAGAAATCACTCGCTCATTTATGCCACATTCACGTTCTAGTCGGAACTCTGAAATGTCCTACTTGCTAACTGGTTGAACGCGGTACATGTAACTACAACCAGTTAGCAAGTTGGAAATGTCAGTTTCCTATTTCCAACTAGCACGTAAACGCGGCATTAAAACTATTAAGAGGGGCAACTAAAATGTGCCCTTTTTGTTGCACATATGTTATGTGTGGTTCGTGTGCACTCATAGAGGGGAAAATAACAATGTATTTGAACCAAAATATGAAAAAAGAGCTCATCAGATGTTGTAAATTGATTTTTGTATCTGAGGAATGTTTCTGTTTTTATAGATTTGTAGTGGTTTCTAATTTCAATCAATTATATATCACCTGTTGTTCAGACTGTTTTAATCCAGCACCAACACCATCAAGTGTCACGTTTTCTCTGCCGCGGATGCAACGATTGTTTTAGTTTAAAATAAATACATGTAAATGCTATTTGAAATGTTTGGGGGGTGAAGTACCACATATTTATGTACAGATCCCGTTTGTATATTATGGTACACATAAATAAAAAGTTGTATTCAATTTATTTTTGTCTGTTTTCTATAGATTCTACACCTCAATGGTGTAGTTAGGCTGTTTACCTGAAGGGTGCCCTGGTGAAAAGCTATAATAAATGGGTCCATGAAGTTCTCTCTCCTCCCCCATTTGTTAGCCTCCTCCCTTTCTATTTCTCAGCTGATGCAAGACACTAGAAACTGTGAGTCAGACTGAAACGCCACTGTGTTATGAAAGGTATGATCACTTGATTCCTCACGTAAAGAGAATGTACATAAAAGCATGTGACCCCCAGAAATGGTGCAATGCCACTCAGAGGCAACCAGGACTGTACGGAGGTCAAAGACCTCCTGGTGCGACCTGATGTAAACAGTTGGAATAATGACATAAAACAGACATTAATATTGAACCTCTGTATTAAGACCCCAAATTCTCATTCCAGTGTATGGGAATAGTTAAATCCACATAATGAAAGAAAGTAGTTGGTTCCCAGGCCTCTTCATTCACGGGACTGGCGCTCCGTGTCTGTCATAAGTTTAGGGCCTCCTTGTAGCACACAGTCTACCTCTGCCATGACCTAGAAGTAAAGCCAACATGAGGTTTACACTTGATTATCCTCTTTTGTTCAAAAAGATTAGGAAAATAATCTGTGATATGGAATAGTTTTCAAAAAGACCACTTCAGTATGAGCATTATAGGGTGTTTAATGGCTTTGGAGATGGTGACACTACAACCCAGTTTCTGCAATATAGGCTACTGTTTATACTGATTACACTGACCCATATACCTTTAACAATGTTATCACAGCAAAAGCCCAATAGCACATTGTGGCATTTTGCATTTTTGCCTTCTCTTAGATTTGCATTGGTAAAAGTAAGCAAACAATTTCCTTGAACGCAAATACTGTATCTAAGCTGAATAAGCATGAAACTGAGTGCCTTAACTTTGCCTGCGTTTGTCTTGTCATGTGTGATGCTACCATCTAGTGGCAAAAACACATTTCACATGGTTGATAAAAAAGGCCCACAAGCCCTATTTTCAATGTTTATTAAAACATGATCACAGAAATGTACATGCTTCTCAAGACAACATATCCCTTGAAATAGGACATACAGGAAAGCATGGCTTTACCAATATCTGTACAACCATCATAAAATATGCTACTTTTACATAATTAAAAAATATTTATTCTGTACAATAATTGCCATTACAATTGAACAACATCTGGCCATACAATCACAAATTGTTTTTGCAGTGAGTTTAGAATATTGTTGGTCAGTTTACCTAGCATCAGCGGTAGTAACCAGTCCAGCACAGTGAATTCTAACTCCTTTCATGGTCAGTCTCTTCTTGTCCTCCACTTCGTCATCAGCTCCTCTTGAAGAAGGAGTCCAGCGTACCAGTACTACCCCCTGTGGAGCGGAGCCGTTTAGACTTGGGTCCTGACTGGCCCCTGGCCCGCGTCTTCCCATGGGACGACAGCAGGGCGCCTGCTCTGAGAGGTGGGCGGGAGGCGGTCGAAACAGAGGAGGAGAGAGAGGAGGAATGAAGAGAGGCATTGGTGGAGGAGAAAGAGTTCTGTAGGTCCAAGGCAAAGTGGTAGTCATTATGTTCAGGCATCTCCCAGGCCAGCACGTCCTGGCCACAGCACTCACAGGTCAGCAGGTCCTCTTTGGCCACACTGGCCAGGCACTGAGGCGGGTCAGAAGGGGGATAGTAGGGCAACTCTGACCCCCCAGACTGTTTTTCCTCTGATCGGGTACACGTTCCCTCCCCAGACCCCAGAGATTGGTCCTCTGCTTGGTTAGAACCAGTGAATTGAGTGTGATTCGTGTGTTTTACATTTACGTTCACAGTCTGCTCTTCACATGTTTTAGCTCCCGGAGCTGTGTAACTTCCTGCTATTTCACACTCAACTGTTTCTGTTAAAAGTCGGACACTTCCTATTGTATCATTTCCTACTGTGGAACATCTTGTTCTGCCTGTTGCGAAACTGTCGCTGTGTGAGGCTGCGGTTGCGAGCTGCTGGTTTCTCCCAAGAGTCTTCCTCTGAAAGAAGGAGGAAATGGCAGTCTGGGGGCTGGCTGATGAACTGACTACAGAGGAAGGGTGACAAGGTCTACTAGGGACAGTTGAGGTTGGGGTTGTATTCTCAGACACACTCCTTTCTACTACAGAGAAAGACACAGGAAAAGATAAAGGTGGGAGAAAGGTTCCATAGCCCCTATCATTCTCTTCTTCATCTCCCTCCTCCTCCTCCTCCTCCTCCTTCCTCTGTTTCTCTGCAGCTCTTTGGAAGAAGGACTGGATGGCGCCGGATCTCTCGGGGGTGGAGTCCTTCTTTGAGCCAGAGCAAGACTGAGTGGAGGCCTGGGTGGAAGTGACATCACTGGACAGGAAGCCAGCGATTCCTCCGGCCCCGGAAGAGGGTGCTTCATTAAATTTACTGGCCGAAAGGTGGAGCAGGGTGAGGGGAGGAGTCCTGGATAGAAAGAGACAGAAAGAGAGAGTGAGACAACGCGAACATACAAAAAATAAGAAATACTCTGGCCATGGGAAATCAAAGTCTCTGAAGGTTAAGATTTCAGGGGGTCTATAGCTGTAGTGTTCCAAATAATGGTGTTATATTTGCCATGCTGTCTAGATTTGTTTGCATATATAGCTAATGTCACGGCAGACTTAATTTGTGCAACTTGCCATGCTGCTTGATGGTTCCCTGCTGTATTAAGACTCTTGATGATGGCGAAGCTGTCCGATGAGATCTTGGTGGCATCGTAGCGCGCCAACGCGCAACACCGAGAGAAACTGCTTGGCCTCTTATCACCCAACTGCCTTACACCCACAGTCAACTGCTTAGCCACACGACCATTCTACACAGAGAGGGAGAGAGATAGAATGAGTGACAGAAATGGGAGGGAGAGGAGTGACATGTATGCAGGTAGATTATCCTTCTGTCCCTTAGTCTCACGAGGGCGTGACCCAGACAGGGAGGGATGAGACAAAGAGAAGATGGTGAGATGAGATGGAGTCCCTCACCATCTCTCTGTCCTTTGTCAGTCTCTCCTCCAGCTCCAGAGCCAACTGATAGAGCCAGTGCTGCACCTGCAGAGATAAGACAGAGGTTTTTATTCAGACATCAACAGACCTAGAAGGAATAGAGCTCAACAAGAATCAACACGGGAGACTGGCCATAATCTACTGAGATGCACCAGAGGAGGCAGACAGAAGAACAGATGGAGAGAGGGCATGAATATAGCTCTGAGTACCCGCTCTCTGGTAGCGAGAGATGTCTTCCCAGGGAAGTTCTTGCTGCAGCCGATGGATTTAGGGAGTTGTCTGGGCTTCACTGCCTCAAAGTCAAACCCCCGACACAGGTCGTACAGCCACTGGCTGAAGAGAGCAATATTTATTTATATCAATATAGGAACTATATTAGTCACCACTGCAAATAGTATAACTACTTTAAGAGAATAGTTACTTTTACAACACCAGATTGCAATATAAAAAATTAGCTAATAACTTAAAATGATCCACAGTAGTACCTAAGTGTGGTTCATTGAGAAAGAGTGGTTTATATACTTCATGACATGAAGGAAGTGTGTGTTGTTTACCCAGTCTTGTCCCCAAAGTGCTGTCCCAACTGGGCCTGAGAGAAGCGGGTCAGTTCTCCCATGTTCTCTACCTTTAGGGTCTCTGTGATGGACGCCCCCAGCTTACCCCCCAGGTTACGGCTGGAGAGAGGAACAACAGGACTGGATCAGTCTATCTCTGAGTCTGTAAGGTTGATTCTGTATTCATCTGCATAGTTTGTGGTCATGTAGTCCAGGAAAGATCGTATTGTATGTTGCATGTATAGTGAAGGATATGTGTAATTGTGTCAATTGTCTTTTTCTCTCAGTTACAGCACACAGTTAGTTTTCACTAGCAGTACACTCACATTTTGCTAATGGGAAGTGAGTTGAAGAGCTCTGGAACAGAGCCTAAAGGCAGGATTGTCTGGCGGTTGGGTTTGTTCAGACCACAGGCTAGTTTAGCCAGCACCTGGGGAGACATGATAAGTAAACAGACACTGCCCTAGAACTGACAGCTGAAAGGACTGGCCAAGTTTCCACCATGTTGCTCAGACCTGTCATGTTCTGCCAAGATTCAGTGATCATGAGGGAAAGGACACAAGTAAAGGAAGCTAGTAGAACTATTGACAGAAAGAGGAAGAACACACTGGTTGTGTTGAGAGGGGAAGAGAGTACTGACCTTGTTGTGGGATATCCCTGCTGAGCAGCGGTAGCCTGTATGCTGCTCCACTGCAGCCCTCATCTCCTCGACGATCACAGCCCCCAGAGCCAGCCGCAGCTCTGCACAGCCAGAGCCCTCTGACACGGAGGACAGCCACTGCTGCAGGCCCCTGGACCTTCGCTCTTCTGGGGAAAACCATGGAGAGGAGCACCATGTTTACATACCGTTTTACCCACTTCATATGTACATACTGTATTCTAGTCAAGGCTTATCCTATTTAACTACTGCTGTACACACCTTTTCTATTCATATACTGTCCATACTGTCTATATACACCATCATATACATATACACTGAGTGTACAAAAAATTAAGAACACCTTCCTAATATTGAGTTGCACCCCCTTTTGCCCTCAGAACATCCTCAATTCGTCAGGGCATGGACTCTACAAGGTGTCGAAAGTGTTCCACAGGAATGCTGGCCCATGATGACTCCAATGCATCCCACAGTTGTGTCAAGTTGGCTGGATGTCCTTTGGGTGGTGGACCATTCTTGACACACACTGAAAATTGTTCAGCATGAAAAACCCAGCAACGTTGCAGTTCTTGACACAAACCGGTGCGCCTGGCCTTTACTACCATACCCCATTCAAAGGCACTTAAATATTTAGTCTTGCCCATTCATCCTCTTGATGGCACACATACACAATCCATGTCTCAATTGTCTCAAGGCTTAAAAGTATTTTATTAACTTGTCTCCTCCGCTTCACCTACACTGATTGAAGTGGATTTAACAGGTGACCTCACCTGCACACACTCCGACTCCTTAGAGTTATTTTGTACCTCCAGCCAATCGCAATCGTTCTATTGAGACATATTGCAGACTCGTTGAAAAAGATGTTGATAATCTCCTCCCTCCCGTTGTCCTAGGGTCAAAATGACCCGCCACTAGGGCTGAACGATTAATTGCATTCGCGATAATATCGCGATTTGACTGAACGCGATTTTCTAATCGCAACGTGCGCGATTTGAGGTGGTCACGTGACGCGACTTTTCATGCTGTCCAGCGCAATGGCCTCTTGCTCGACGGAACAGTCAGAAACTGACACAGCTGATACTTTAATATCGAAGAGGAACAGCACGTCGGTGGTGTGGAACTATTTTGGTTTTAAAAAAGAAGATGCTGAGCAGCGTCAGGTGTTGTGCAGAGCATGCCGTGCTCCGATTGCTACTTCACGGGGTAACACTACAAACCTGTTTCAGCACTTAAAAAAATACCACAAATCAATGCATGACAGTTGTATGACCAAAATGCCGAGCATCAGTGCGCGAGACAAGCCAAATACCTCAAGACAGGGATCACTGACAGAAATGTTCGAAAGTGTCACTCCGTATGAACGTAATTCAAAACGGCACGGAGAAATCACTCGGACAATAACCGAGTTCATAGCCAAAGATATGATGCCTCTCAGTCGCAGAGGCAGAGATAAACAATTACCTGATGACTCCTACCATTGATGGAGAAGATGATCCATTGGCTTGGTGGAGGGTGCACAAGATCAGCTACCCACAGTTGTGCACCATGGCACGCAAGTATCTTTGTGTACCTGCTACAAGCGCTCCCTCAGAGCGTCTTTTTAGCACAGGAGGGAATATTGTGACTTGCACTCGCTCATCCTTGAAGCCAGAAAAAGTCAATATTCTGGTTTTCTTAGCAAAAAACCTGTGAGCCACTGAGAACAGAACTGTTGGATAAGTATGGCTGGCAGTGCCATACTCGTAGTGAACTTTAGTCTGTGTGGTGTGTTATTGTTGTGTACTTGAGATAAGTGAGGCTCATCTATTTTATATTATAATATTCAAATCGTTTATAAAAAATAGTTTGTCTAAATTAAAAGTGCATTTCTCATTTTTTATTTATAACTTTATTTACTTTGATTTTACAAAATATTTTCAAAGCTAATTCCTTGTTTCAGTTGTGTGAAATGTTACTGACTTGGGAGCAGTAAGATACATACAATTTAAAATTATTTTTTTCTTAAGACTGTACCTTTTGCACACAGTGTTTACAAAGTTCATGCCTTTGTTTAAATTATTTAAATGCACAGTGGCAAAGCCACAGATGTTTCTGTAATGAGCAGTTCAATAAAAATGTCATTTATTTCAAGTCATACATGTTTGAATTTAATTCTAACAAATAGACCCAGCCTATGGGAAAGAACATTTCACACTAAATGTATATACTATTGTGTTGGTCATATTTAAATCATTCATTATGTTTTGTAGGGGAAAAAGGATAAATAAATTAAATCGCATATTAAATCGCAATCGCAATATTGGGGGCAAAAAATCGCAATTAGATTATTTTCCAAAATCGTTCAGCCTTACCCGCCACTGTGTTGAACCAACTTTATTTAATTTGTATATTTTTGGGATCATTTGTGAGAAGGAGGATCACAAATGATCAAAAAAAATATACAAATTAAATAAAGTTGGTTCAACACAGTGGCGGGTCATTTTGACCCTAGGACAACGGGAGGGTTAAGAACAAACATGAGTACATATCTTTCCATAATTTACCTAAGGATGAAAAACAAGCTTTGCTTGATTTACAATCCGATACGTCAGTCCTTACCCGCCCTGCTGATAAGGGTGGGTCGGTTGTACTCATGGATAGGACAGCTTATGTAAATGAGGGTCATAGACAACTGCTTGACAACACCTTTTACAAGAAACTCAGAAGTGACCCCACTTCCCAATTTCAGAACACTATCTTTACTGTCCTAGATGGGTATTTAAGTTCTGGTCAAATCAATAAAAAAAGAACACAACTTTTTGGCTATTCAACACCCTAAAATTGCCACTTTCTCTACCTTGCCGAAATTACACAAGAATGTTACAAAACCTCCTGGTCGCTCTACTGTAGCGGGCATTGATGCAGTAACGGCCCCATTATCAACTGTTGTTGAATGTGTTATTAGACCACCCGCAGAACAGCTCCCCTCCTATGTAAAGGACACCAGCAGTATGATCTCTATCATTGAATCTCTTGATCCTCTCCCTGAGAATCCTTTTGTTAGTTACTTTTGATGTTGTCGTTATACACAAATATTCCACACGAGGCAGTATTGAAGCCATGGAAAAAATAATTCTGCAACGTGAACCCAATGAACTACCTTCCAGTGCATGCATTATAACATTGGCTGAAATTGTACTCACACACACACACAACTATTTCTAAATTATTTCTTTATCCAGACGAAGGGTACTGCTATGGGATCCCCTATGGCTCCTAACTATGCTAATTTGTATGTGGGTTAAATGGAGAAACAGTCAATTCTCAAACCTCTCAAAAATGTTTTCTTGCCTAACATTATTATTTGGAAACAGTACATTGATGATATTTTTGTTCTATGGCGGGGTGATGCAAAACAGCTCCAGGAGTTCCATGCATTTCTTAACTCTTGTTCTGAGCACCAGAGATTTACTATGCAATCTGACACACGTCAAATCAGTTTCACTTTATTTTTATATCTTGTGTGAGGATGATGTTCTATACACTGATCTTTACAGGAAACCTACTGATCGTAATAGTTTGTTGAGGACTGATAGCTGTCATCTGCTTCCCTTGAAAAACAGTTTGCCATGGAGCAAATTCTGTCTAATCAAAATAATTTGTAAAGATCGATCAGATTTCCACAGAAATATGGCTGAGGTGCAAAGAAAGTTCAAAGAGAGGGGGTACAAAAATGGTCAGATTAATACCGCCATTGAGAAAATCCAAAACAAATCGAAACATGATCTCTTTCAAGGACAGTCTGGTGAAAAGAAGCATTCTTGCATTCTTACTACGCGCTATTCAAAGTGCTCTGAACAAATGAAGGGAATGGTTCACAAACATTGGCACATTCTAAGATCCGATGACAGTATGGGTAATGTGTTTTCGGACCCTCCCTTGGTCGTATTCTCGCAGGGCAGAAATCTCAGAGATCAATTGGTAAACTCTGATTTACCACCCCAAAATACCCCCGCACAACGTCTATTTGCGCCTCTATTGGATGGAAACTGCAAGTGTAATAGCTGTGCTCAATGCAACGGCACTTACAAATGTAGATCCTTCAAACACCCTCAAACAGGGAAACCGATCCCAATCAAAGGTGTTATCACGTGCTCCACTAAGGCAGTTATTTATCTTATAACTTGTCCTTGTGGTAAAAATTGTGGGGGGAACGAAGGGCAAATTAAAAGTAAGAATCTCTGAGCATCATAGCACTATTAGGTGCAAAAACTCAATGTACCCAGTTGCGGCCCACTTCTTGGAAGCTAACCACTGTTTCATCCCTTCTTATATCGGCATCGAACACATCACCCTCCCTAGGAGAGGGGGTACCCTTGATAATTTATTGTTAAAACGAGAGGCTACCTGAATCTTTAATTTAAAGACCCTCGCTCTCTTCGGTCTCAACGTAGACTTTAATCTGAAGCCATTCTTGTGATTATTGTGTTTTTGCTATCCATTGTAAATGTTTGTTGGCCTATGTAGCCAAATTATATCTATGATCGTATGTTATTCATTTATGCTTTTTATATGTTCTATTTATATCTGAAATTAACCAATGAAATCAAGCCACACCCAGCCATGATTACAGACACCTGTGTGTCCATTGAAACTACATTTAAGCAATAAGGCCCGAGGGGGTGTGGTATATGGCCAATATAACACGGCTAAGGGCTGTTCTTATGCACGACAAAACGCGGAGTGCCTGGATACAGCCCTTAGCCGTGGTATATTGGCCATATAACACAAACCCCCCGAGGTGCCTTATTGCTATTATAAACTGGTTACACATGTAGTTAGAACAGTAAAAATAAATGTTTTGTCATACCCGTGGTATACGGTCTCATATACAACGGCTTTCAGCCAATTAGCATTCATGGCTCGAACCACCCAGTTTATAAAAAACTAGTGAACCGCAGTGTTTGTCATTATACCCTGATGAAGACAGCTTGTCTGTCGAAACATTGGTTATTAGGTTATTAAATGATTGCATCTGAGCTCCTAGAGTATGCAGCTCTCCTTTTCTTTTTCAAGTGTTCTACTCCACTAGCCAGCACCTCACCTAAACAGGTCTGCGTTTCTTTCACCTCCAGATTGACCTCAATAAGGGATCATAGTTTTCGACCTGTATTAACCTGGTCAATGTGTCATGGAAAAAGCCGGTGTGCCTAATGTTTTGTACACTCAGTGTATATTTATATTCCGAACTCTGACTCATTGCTCTTTCTAATATTTTTTAAATCTCCTTTTTGGGGGGGGGGGGATTTATATTGTCGGGTATTACTGCACTGTTGGAGCTAGGAACATAAGCATTTTGCTACACCCACGATAACATCTGCTAAATATGTGTATGTTAACAATAAAATGTAATTATACTTTTTTTATGTGAAAATCTGAAATGACATGGTCTTTTATCAGAAACTCAGGGATGTGGACAGATATAGAATGTCAAGATACCATATACACTGCTCAAAAAAATAAAGGGAACACTTAAACAACACAATGTAACTCCAAGTCAATCACACTTCTGTGAAATCAAACTGTCCACTTAGGAAGCAACACTGATTGACAATAAATGTCACATGCTGTTGTGCAAATGGAATGTAAATGTAATAGACAACAGGTGGAAATTATAGTCAATTAGCAAGACACCCCCAATAAAGAAGTGGTTCTGCAGGTGGTGACCACAGACCACTTCTCAGTTCCTATGCTTCCTGGCTGATGTTTTGGTCACTTTTGAATGCTGGCGGTGCTTTCACTCTAGTGGTAGCATGAGACGGAGTCTACAACCCACACAAGTGGCTCAGGTAGTGCAGCTCATCCAGGATGGCACATCAATGCGAGCTGTGGCAAGAAGGTTTGCTGTGTCTGTCAACGTAGTGTCCAGAGCATGGAGGCGCTACAAGGAGACAGGCCAGTACATCAGGAGACGTGGAGGAGGCCGTAGGAGGGCAACAACCCAGCAGCAGGACTGCTACCTCCGCCTTTTTGCAAGGAGGAGCAGGAGGAGCACTGCCAGAGCCCTGCAAAATGACCTCCAGCAGGCCACAAATGTGCATGTGTCTGCTCAAACGGTCAGAAACAGACTCCATGAGGGTGGTATGAGGGCCCGACGTCCACAGGTGGGTGTTGTGCTTACAGCCCAACACCATGCAGGACGTTTGGCATTTGCCAGAGAACACCAAGATTGGTAAATTCGCCACTGGCGCCCTGTGCTCTTCACAGATGAAAGCAGGTTCACACTGAGCACATGACAGAGTCTGGAGACGCCGTGGAGAACATTCTGCTGCCTGCAACATCCTCCAGCATGACCGGTTTGGCGGTGGGTCAGTCATGGTGTGGGGTGGCATTTCTTTGGGGGGGGCCGCACAGCCCTCCATGTGCTCGCCAGAGGTAGCCTGACTGCCATTAGGTACCGAGATGAGATCCTCAGACCCCTTGTGAGACCATATGCTGGTGCGGTTGGCCCTGGGTTCCTCCTAATACAAGACAATGCTAGACCTCATGTGGCTGGAGTGTGTCAGCAGTTCCTGCAAGAGGAAGGCATTGATGCTATGGACTGGCCCGCCCGTTCCCCAGACCTGAATCCAATTGAGCACATCTGGGACATCATGTCTCGCTCCATCCACCAACGCCACGTTGCACCACAGACTGTCCAGGAGTTGGCGGATGCTTTAGTCCAGGTCTGGGAGGAGATCCCTCAGGAGACCATCCGCCACCTCATCAGGAGCATGCCCAGGCGTTGTAGGGAGGTCATACAGGCACGTGGAGGCCACACACACTACTGAGCCTCATTTTGACTTGTTTTAAGGACATTACATCAAAGTTGGATCAGCCTGTAGTGTGGTTTTCCACTTTAATTTTGAGGGTGACTCCAAATCCAGACCTCCATGGGTTGATACATTTGATTTCCATTGATCATTTTTGTGTGATTTTGTTGTCAGCACATTCAACAATGTAAAGAAAAAAGTATTTAATAAGATTATTTCATTCATTCAGATCTAGGATGTGTTGTTTAAGTGTTCCCTTTATTTTTTTGAGCAGTGTATATAAAATGAGAACACAGCACTAAAAGAGATAGGCCTAAATATTTTTCTGAAATGCTCAAACTCGACACTCATATTTAGAGTTTTTGGGGTAAACGAACCCAATCCCAGCCCAATGACGACTGTGGTTTAAAACTCACCTTTATCAGTTGCGGTGTCCTGTGCTGCCCCTTCCTGGTCAAGAGGAGCCAGTGGGTAGCCCTGGACGTGGCTGGTCTTCAGGAGCTGAGGGTCTACCTGCTGATCAGTCATGCTTTTCAATCTCTGCTGTACCGCAGCAGTCAGGTCCATGTAGGCCTCGTCAATACTGGCCCTCTCGAGCACAGCGAAGCGTGACATCACCTCAATCACATTCACACTCGCCTCCCGGTAACTACACAGGGGGTGACAGTTAGCTGGTTAGCACTGCAGGCTTTCTGAAGGAGTTCCTGGGGATTTACGTTTTGGTAACAAGTTACTTAAAATATTGTATAACGGACACGTACTGGGTGAGGTCTGCCTTCCCGTGTGCCTCTCTGACCCTTGCAACCTGGAGATCTGGGCACAGTTTCTTGGCATCGTCTGCCCACATGTTCCTGGAGACACCATGGGCCCTGGCCTCGTAACTCACAGCTATGATACTGGGTAAAGATACAAAGTGTGAGTATCATAGTCCAGGTATGTTTTCTGAGCAGTCCATGCAAAAAAAACTAATGTATGGGAGAGACAAACGTTTTGTAGAGGTGAGAACCAGACGATGTAGGTATGCATCACAAGTCAGGCCTAGCCCAAGCTAAGGTTTAATTCCACTGACTGTCTCCATTACATTATAATGGACACTGGAGTTAAATCTTAGCCTGCCTGACCCATACAACGAAGAAACATGGGGTAATGGGAAGCACCTACGACTCACTCCCACTGTCTCATTGCCCCTAGGTCTACATATTTTATTCTGGATTGATGTGTGTATGTTAGCTACGTCGACTCACCCGCCTCCCTTCCATGTCTTGTACTGTGCGACCACACACGGGGTGTTTTTCAGCGCGGGGTTCAGCCTCTGTTCCACCTGCACGTAGAAACAGTCCATATCCACCAACGCCACAACCCTCTCCTTCCCATAATCCATACCAGAAGCGATGCAGAACGACTGGACAACACTGGAAGTTAAAAATGAATTGCTATGGTAGATAAAGCCCCAGACCTAGGTTAGATATAAGTTAGTTAGCTAATGGCAGTTAGCCTATCTAACGTTAGTAGCTATCTAGATAACGTTAGCTAACTGTATTGACAGAATAGATAGCTAGCTATAGTAGCTTGAAACACCCAACATTAGATATTACAGTAGCTAGATAGCGAAGTAGAAAAATATAAACAAATTAGATAACGCTTCATAATGTAACAATGCCGCACGACGAATCGTCTTCTTCTTTGGGTGAGTTTAATGGCGGTTGGCATCCAATATTAATGGTGCATTACCGCCACCAACTGGACTGGAGTATGAAGCCTTTATACTTTGTGATACAAAAATGGGAAAATGGAAAAGGAAAAGATTACCCTGCCAACTAACTCTACACTCATTAAAACCCACCACTACTTTGACCCTATCTGATCCTACACCAGGCTGACAGCCTGGGAGGACGGGACACTATCATTCAACACACCCTGTAACTCTTCTGCAGTAAAATCTCGTAATCCCAAGTACTGTACTTCTCTGCAGCTGCCACCACAACACCTATTTTCTGTGACTTACGTTCCATTCCTGCGGTAAAGTTGATAACCATGGTAATGAACACTAAAAAGCCAACCTTACTGAAGCACATTTAATTCGTAGGCCTATCACTCTGTCCTGGCAAAAGTCTACTACTCACCAAGAGCCTCTTAGGACCCCTCACCCTTGAACCATCTTCCTTTACTTTCTTCACTGCCTCAGCATACAACACTTTCTGTAAAACTCTGACCCTGGCAACCTCAACCTGCCTCTCTCGCACCAGACACTTCTGATCCCCAGCAACATAGGCACCCCTACAGTTAACACATACCGCTTTCACCGGTACTACACATTCCTTTGTCCCATGCCCTCCTGCACACTTCTCACATCTAGGAATCTCCCTCCTACACACTGCTGCAACATGACCATAAGCTTGGCACCTGAAATATCGTAGTGGATTCGGCACAAAAGCTCTTACGGGATAACTGATATATCCTAACATTACTTTGTCGGGTAACGACTCAGCATCAAAACTAAAAAAGACAGACAGTGACTCTTCTGTTTCACCACCCTCGCCACCGTGTCTGCGTCGCGCCATATGGCGGGCATCACAGACACTGGGAATCTTCAACTTCAGTTCATCCACCTCCAACCTTACCACTACCCCAGTAATCACTCCTTTCAATGGTGCCCTATTCCTGACAGCAAAGCAAATAACAGGTCTTGTCCCCATTCACGTGACGCGGAGCGCCCGCTCCCTCTCGGAGGAAGAAACACAAAAAATCCTCACAAGTCCACTTCGGGTTACCTTCAACGATTCAACAGTACCCAACTGGGTCAGCCAAAAGGCAGGGGTCCACTTTCTCCCAAAATGTCTCTCCTGCTGGACCAGAGTCATCTTTATCATGACCATCATGGTGAGGCTTGAGCTCCAATATCTTCAATACTCCTGCCACCTTATTCTCTTCCAATTCACCTCCAGAGCTACTGGAGTACAGCTCATTCTGTTTGTACTTGACGCCAATCTTCCTCGACTCACCGTCTCTCTCATTGTTGCTAGCTTCATCGGATTCAAACTTGTAACCTACCTCCTTTCATCTCTTCATTGACCCTAAGCCTGGAAATATACTTCCATTAGAATCCTTATCACTTTCACTGTCAGACTCCAGATTCCATGTGTTTCCATCCTTTTCCACTACTACTTTTCGTTTGAGTCTCTTGACCGTGCCACCTGACTAGCCGGCTTTCAAAAATCTCAACCCACTGCACAGCCAGATGACACTTGCCGAATCACCTGAATCAACTTGACTTTTATTTCACGTAATGTTATCAAACATATGTACGGTAGTACATCATCAACAAGCGACGAATAAAGACGTACAAAGTCAGGTATATACAGTGCATTCGGAAAGCATTCAAACACCTTGACTTTTTACACATTTTGTTACGTTACAGCCTTATTCTAAAATTGATTCAATTGCTTTTTTTCCTCATCAATCTACACACAATACCCCATTATGACAAAGCAAAAACAGGTTTTTGTAGTTTTTTTCAAATGTATAAAAAAACAATGAAATATTACATTTACATAAGTATTCAGACCTTTACTCAGTACTTTGCTGACACACTTTTGACAGTGATCACAGCCTCAAGTCTTCTTGGGTATGACGCTACAAACTTGGCACACCTGTATTTGGGGAGTTTCTCCCATTCTTATCTGCAGATCCTCTCAAGCTCTCACAGCTATTTTCAGGTCTCTCCAGAGATGTTCGATCGGGTTCAAGTCGGTTCAAGTCCGGGCTCTGGCTAGGCCACTGAAGGACATTCAGAGACTTGTCCCGAAGCAACTCCTGCGTTGTCTTGGCTGTGTGCTTAGGGTCGTTGTACTGTTGGAAGGTGAAGGTTCTGAGCGCTTTGGAGCAGGGTTTCATCAGTTCATCTTTCCCTCGATCCTAACAAGTCTCCAAGTCCCTGCCGCTGAAAAACATCCCCACAGCATGATGCTGCCACCACCATGTTTCACCGCTTGGCATTCAAGCCAAAGAGTTCAATCTTGGTTTCATCAGACCAAAGAATCTTGTTTCTCATGGTCTGAGAGTCCTTTAGGTGCCTTTTGGCAAACTCCAAGCAGGCTGTCATGTGCCTTTTACTAAGGAGTGGCTTCCTTCTGGCCACTCTACCATAAAGGCCTGATTGGTGGAGTGCTGCAGAGATGGTTGTCCTTCTGGAAGGTTCTCCCATCTCCACAGAGGAACTCTGGAGCACTGTCAGAGTGACCGTTGGGTTCTTGGTCACACCTCCCTGACTAAGGCCCCTCTCTTCCGATTGCTCAGTTTGGTCGCGCAGCCAGCTCAAGGAAGTGTCTTGGTGTTTCCAAACTTCTTCCATGTAAGAAGGATAGAGGCGACTGTGTCCTTGGGGACCTTCAATGCTGCAGGATTTTTTTGGTACCCTTCCCCAGTTCTGTGCCTCGACACAATCCTGTCTCGAAGCTCTACGGACAATTCCTTCGACCTCATGGCTTGGTTTTTGCTCTGACATGCACTGTCAACTGTGGGACCTTATATAGACAGGTGTGCCTTTCCAAATCATGTCCAATCAATTGAATTAACCACAAGTGGACTCAAATCAAGTTGTAGAAACATCTCAAGGATGATCAATGGAAACAGGATGCACCTGAGCTTAATTTCGAGTCTCATAGCAAAGGGTCTGAATACTTATGTAAATAAGGTATTTCTGTTTTTTATTTTTAATACATTTGCAAAATTGTCTAAAAACCTGTTTTCGCTTTGTCATTATGGGGTATTGTGTGTAGATTAATTAGGATTTTTATTTATTTAATCCATTTTAGAATAAAGCTGTAACGTAACAAAAATCGGATAAAGGGAAGGGGTCTGAATACTTTCCAAATGCACTGTACAGAAGACACATATAGTACAATGGATTAATTATATAGATGCGGAAAAGAGGTCAATGGAACTCAACCAAAACAATGTTTATATGTGTATTTCACACAATGTTGAGGTAAAAATCGGAGTAGAACGCTTGTATGGATGTCAACCCCAATACATGTTCATGTTATCGTCACCAATCAACTGCATTACAGTTAAAAACGACTTTGGGACTACCACCACCGATTTCTCTATGCTAACTATGCTAACTTGTACGAATGGGAGTTAGCATTTAGCAGTCATTTCTTCTAAACCTGAAAAGGGACTACTTCTAAATGTTATGCAGCAAAAACAGCCAAATATATCCAAATCGGACTTTAGTAAACCACATTGTGAGCCTGTTACAATACATCAATCATGACGGGTTAGACGAATATCCACTTTGTTAGATCAGTTGTAGTTATTTTTTACTTTGATTTAGACAAGAGGGGTCACCATTGAGACAAGGGTCTCATTCTTAAGAGAGCCATGTGAACATGAACACACAATTCAATATAACATAAAGCAAAATAACATCAACACAATACAATAAATACAACAACAATAAATACAACAAGATTAATCAAAACAAACACAACAATCACATTTCATCTCCCTCCAAATTGATCTAAACTGTCCAATGGGGACCAGCAACTCTAGCTTCAAGGTGGCCTGAAGGCTATTCCACAAGCTGTGGGCATAAAAACTAAAAGCATTTTTCCCCAGCTCATTGGACCTCCAGAACCAGCCAGCAGAGAACGGGTCTGAAAATTGCTGGATCTCCAATGAATACATGAGCTGAGGTAGTGGGGGAGTCTCTGAAGAACTGCTTTATATTTATTTTTTAAGTAGCCAATGCTGGGCCCTTCTGTTAGTCAGAGACTCCCAGCCAAATGTGCGCCAATCCGGCATCCTTCTTCTATCCCCCAAGGACTGCGTTCCATTGACCTCTTTACTGCATTTATTGATAAGGTCAATGGCATTTGACGACTCAATAAAATGCAATGTTTCATCTCAATCTCACAATCTCAGTTGGCAGTGAAGGGAAATCTTTGTTGTTGCATGCAGGCGGGAAAACAAAGCTTGACCTGCATTAATAAAAAAAAGATTATAATATTATAATCTAATAATCTAATCTGAGTCTGTTGTTCAAAGACACCTTCTCACTGACCCAGGGCACGGTAAACAGCAGATGAATTTGAATAAGACTATTTGGCCTTAATAGATGCAGTCACTTTATTTGAAATACAGTGAGCTCCAAAAGTATTGGGACAGTGACATTTTAGTTTTTGTTTTGGCTCTGTACGCCATGGTACATTGACTATGAGGTTAAAGTGCAGACTGTCAGCTTTAATTTGAAAGTATTTTAATCCATATCGGGTGAACCATTTAGACATTACGGTACTTTGTGTACATAGCCCATACCCCCCACCCCCAGATAGTAAAAAAAAAAAAATCAAAAGGAAGTTTTAAAGTGTCTGTCCTATATCTGAGAGATATAAGAAAGATCAGGACTTTTTGAAATATTGTTTTTTACCCATATTTAACCAACTTTTTTTGCCACTAAACTACTTCCATGTACACTGAGTGTACAAAACATTGGGAAAACGTCCCTAATATTGAGTTCCACAGGGATAATGGGCCATGTTGACTCCAATGCTTCCCACAGATGTGTCAAATTGGCTGGATGTCCTTTGGGTGGTGGACCATTCTTGATACACATGGGAAGCTGTTGAGTGTGAAAAACCCAGCATCGTTGCAGTTCTTGACACAAACCGGTGCGCCT